GGTCCAATTTACAACATAGAATGATAAGAATTATTTAAATTTAAGATAAGATTTTTTTATTTCATAATTTTTTTTATTTTTGAAAATGTCATGTAAAGAAATAAAACAGTAAAAATATTACTATAATATTTAGATATAATGTGTTCCAACAATTAAGAAATATTTTTCTATGATTAAATTAAAATTCTAAAAATATAAATTAATTTCTAATATAGGTAATTTTACTAATGATAATTAAAAATTAAATTTGTATCTTAAAGCTAAAAAGAAAAGAAAATTTAGTTGCATCTAATACAAAAATAATTATAAGAGAACTCAATATATTTGGAACGTAATAATCAAATAACTTATGTATTAATATTTTAGACTAATTCAAAGTTACAATTTAAAATAAAATATGATATTATTTTGGTTATAGGTAAAATATTAATATAAAAACTATTTAAAATATAGTAGGGAAGAGATTTATAAAAAAAAATAAAGGTAGTGTGATTTATACTTTAAATTAATTGAAAAATAAATAAATTAAATAATTAAATTATATTTAAAAATCTTACTGATAAATTTAAATGATTAAAAAATTCCGAATAAGAGGATACAAGCATAAAAATATACCAAATTTCAAGAATAAAATATTTATATTTATTAAAGACTATTCAAAAGATAATAAGCAAGATATTAATTAAATTATTAATCTAATAAAAAAATTATATGACAGTATAATAATATTAAATAATAAATAATACAATAACTATAAGAAAAGAACAAAAATAAAAAAGAATTTGCATAAAATGATGTGATGAACAAGACATATTTGACTTTTAGTCAAAAATAAAGTGATAATAAGAATTTTCTTAAATTAATATGATATAATGTGCTCAAACAACACAGATCACAACATGACATATTTAGTATTTTTTAATATTGACACCGAAACGAAATACAAGTACTAAAATCAAGGGATTAGTTGCCACAAATAAAATAAAAGTTGTCTACTACGAGATTTGAATAATAATTTTATATCTTACTTCAAAATTAATATCTAATGTTATATAACTTTTATATGTAAAGTTTATATTTTAAGGTTATTTGTACATAATTCAAACAACATAGATTACAATTTGATATAATTTGTGTTTGCGCATCGCGCGAGTACTAATACTAATATTACTTAAGGAGAAAAGTATAAGTTCACATACATACCCCTCCTTGTAGATATGCTCCTAGCAGCGCATTGAGATTGAAGGAGACAAAAGCAAAGAGATCAAAATAAACAAAAAGTATTACAAATGTCGTGTCATATCAACAATTTATGCTCAATAGACATAATTTGCTGCGCATTTGCATCTATATTCGTTTTTTGGGTCACATTTAACTTGTGCTCATTTTGTAAAAATAATTGCAAATGTACTCACTTTTTCGCATAACTTCAGCATACGGGGTTGAAGTATCAAGGGCAATCACGCAAAACTTCAGCATTCTAGTAGACGGGTCTGAAGTAGCAAGTGTGCTGAAGTTTTTGTTTGTAATTGCTGAACTTAAGCATAGTAGCTGAAGTTTTGTTCTCTATTTGCTGAAGTTTTTGTCTGTAATTGCTGAACTTAAGCATAGTAGCTGAAGTTTTTGTTTGTAATTCCACTAAATAAGCTAAAGTTTTTTTTTGTCCTGGACTCATTAGTTTTGTCATTAAGCTTTTTTAAAAACTTCAGCAGAAGATGTTGAAGTTATTTAATTTATTTATAAAAACTTCAGCATTAAATAAGCTGAAGTTTTTTTGTCCTTAATAAGTTTTTTCAAAAACTTCAGCAGAAGATGCTGAAGTTATTTAGTTCATTTGTAAAAACTTCAGCACTAAAAGCTGAAGTTTTTTGTCGTGATTCATTAGTTTTGTTATAAAACTTTTTCAAAAACTTCAGTAGAAGTTGCTTAAGTTATTTAGTTCATTTGTAAAAACTTCAGCACTATATAAGCTGAAGTTTTGAAAAAGCTTTACAACATACTAGATAAATAATCAGATTGCCAATAGTATCTAAATCATAAATTTTTGGAAACAATAAACGTGAAAAGAACAGAATTATCATTGTCTACTAACTTACGTACGTGGAAATATTCACAAATTATTGTCTACTAACTTACGTAATTATTTATAATTTATTTTTAAATAATCTGATAAACATATTTATGGCAGTCATCCTATGAACTGAAGTTTCATAGCAACACCAACAGCAGCAGAAAGAAGAAGGAGGAGGAGGAGGAGAAGAAAGGGGGCTGAAGTTATTTAAAAAGTGGGTACAAGTTAAAGCTTTTTTAAAAAATAAGTATAAGTTAAATGGGGGAGACCAAATAGAGCGCCCCGTGCAATTTGCTTCGAGATCGGTACTTAATGGGTACAATTTTTCAGTTAAGATATCTAAATAAAAAAGTCGGACAAATTTAAGGGGCGGTCTAGCTTCAGCTAATAAAGAACTTCTCACATCTCTCATGTTGATGTTGGTCAATTGATATGTAAAAAAGAAAACTAAATTAACTTGGAATAGCCTCCAAAAAATGGTTTTTCACTTGCAAAATTTTTGTGGGTGCTAACGGCTGGTTTAGAGTTAATAAATTGTTGGTGGTGCTTGAATAATAAAATTATGGTAAGACTTGGTTTTAAGCAATAATTTAGAATAATTCTCTTACTTAAAAAAAATCTATTCTAGATCGACATTTAAGAAAAGATAGAACTTGAATGTGTATACTCGCCATATGAATCATATCATTGTAAAGTTGACCTTGAGTATTACTCCCTCCGTATCATACTTTTATATTATCAGCCATGGTTATTAAAAATAATTGTCTTAAATTATTTGTCATTTTAAAAATTCACGATAACAGTAATTATTATTTTTTTCATTTTTACCCTTAGTAATAATTGTTCTTGAAGATGAAGATAACAACTAAATAGAATAAATATTCAATGAAGAGAGATTTTATTTTAAGATATAAATAAGAGTAAAATAATCTAATCTCTTTCCTAACGAATATTTATTAAAGGGCGTGTAAAAGAAAAACACGACAGATAATTTGAGACAAAGGGAGTATAATCTGGGTCATTAGAGAAAAAATTAAAATCGTCCCTTAAATTGTGGGGTTTACTGAAATAGTCCCTATTTTATGAGATGAGCAATAATAGTTCCTATTTTATGAGATGAGCAATAATAGTCCCTATAGTATGCAAAAGTGGTGCATATTTGGTCTAATACAATAAAACTGAGTAAAAGTCAGGGGAAAAAGTGCATGTTATTGTTGCAGATGTCAAAACATTTATTTTGCAAATAGATGTGGTATTTCGGTTGAATTATGTGTGAGGAAATAATAGAGATGGTAAATTGTTTCATAATTTATAATAGAAAAAAATATATTGTGTAGCTAAGTTACCCTGTAGCTTAACTTTATGCCTCTTTTAATNGGGGGGGAGTGGCACTCAACTGATATGATAAGGCAGAACATCTTTGCTAATAAAGAATGATTTAGCAAATTACAAATAAAGGAAAATATAATAACTTTCTTCATTTAATTTTTATGTGAAGGTGTTTAACTAGTCACGGTATTTAAAAAGGAAAAAAATACTTTTAAAACTTATGTTAAACTTGTTATGATATTTTTGTGGCTATAAAATCGAGTTATTGAGGATGAAATGAGAAATTTAAAGTTAGATTATTTTTAAGTTAATATAAAAAGATGTCATTCTTTTTTTAACAGACTAAAAATGAAATAGTGTCATATAAAATGAAACATAAGGAGTGAAAACAGAGGACTAGGATGATATGCAGAAATTATAGTAAAAATTGCACTGGGCGCCCTATTTGGTCGGCCCCATTTAACCTATACCATTTTTTTTAAAAGTTTTAACTTGTACCCACTTTTTAAACAGTTACAATCCTCTTTCTCCTCCTCCTTCTTCTTCTTCTTCTTCTTCTTCTTCTTCTTCTTCTTCTTCTTCTTCTTCTTCTTATTCTTCTTCTTCTTCTTCTTCACCTGAGCTTGATAATTTAGTTTCAGTCCAAATTTGAAAGTTTATATATAACTATAGATTAGAATTTAAATGTGGTTTTTAGCTATATATTAGATTATATTACTTGAAATCATATGAAGTCCATTCATATTTGATGGTTTTATGGAGAAATCCTCACAAACATGTGCTGAGTTTTCAGAGTACTTCACGATTTCATATTCAACTTATGGTAAGATTGTTGACATATCTTGAGAGCATGGGTTGTGCAGCTAAAACGTGCTGAAGTTCAGCAAATATAGAACAAAACTTCAGCTAAAACATGCTGAAGTTCAGCAAATAGAGAACAAAACTTCAGCTAATAGAATACTTGAGTTCAACAATTACAAACAAAAACTTCAGCAAATAGAGAACAAAACTTCAGGTACTAGAATGCTTAAGTTCAACAATTACAAACAAAAACTTCAGCCAACACTTGGTTCAGCAATTTGCTACTTCAGGTCGTCTACTAGAATGCTGAAGTTTGCGTGATTGTCTTTGCTACTTCAGGCCCGTATGATTGAAGTTACGCGAAAAGTGGGTATGCTTGTAATTTTTTTTGCAAAGCGGGTATAAGTTAAAACGTGACCCAAAAAACGGGTATAGATGCAAATGCACCAAAATTCTCTTATTATAGAAGCGACAGTTGAGCTCCATCAGGAGTCAGTGTAATCAACATGCCTGCTTAGGCTAGAGAATTTTGCCACTGTTTTTCTATATTATTACGTTGAATGCCATAACAGAATTTAGTAAATAAAGACAACTTCTCAGCCAATTTAAAGGGCCACTTATAAGTCAGTGTCATCTACATGCCTGCTTAGGCTACAGAATTTTGCCACTGTTTTCTTTATTATATTACGTTGAATGCCATAAGACAATTTAGTAAGTAAAGACAACTTCTCTGACAATTTAAAGGGTCACTTATATAGGTAAAATAGCTCTAAAAGTTGCAGGCTTTGCCTTTTTTGCTAAGTCAGTGTATTAATAGCATACGACATGGACTTTTTCCCCTGACAGCTGGAGGTAACTTTGGTGCTAATCTAGCTAAAAATTTATAGGACAACAACAATCCAGTATAATCCTATTTAGTGGGGTCTGGAAGTATTGTGTGTACGCAGAGCTTACCCTATCTGGGCAGAGAGAGTTGTTTACAAATAGAACGCATCCTTTCCTCCTACAACTTCTCACAACAATCCCACTTAGCTAAAAATTTATACGAGGTTTATTTTTCCCTGCTCTTCTTCTGCACCAAGGGTAAATGTTTCTTTCTCACAACTTTGTGCAGCAAGGGGTTTCACTCAGAAGAGTTGTACCATAATTGGTAATATACATTTTCCTCATTTAGTTGCCTTTTCTGCTATTCGATCACATCTCTCTCTTACTTTCTCTATATCATGGGATTTCTCAGTTGTGTAATTTGTTGTATTTTCCTGTGTAAAAGGGCTGGTCTTGGTGTAATGTATTGTAAGATTAGGATTTCTATTTGGGAAAAATTGGTGGATGGTGCTAGGGTTTGGAAATTTGAGAAATTGATAAAATTTAGAATTTTATCTGATTCGTCCTCAATAATCCAGAAAGAGGATTGTGATTCTTGTAGTAATAGGCCCAAAGTTAAACACCTTCTCACTGTAAGACCTGCTTCGACACTTTCATTTGTAGTCTTTATCGTTATTTTTGTTTGGATATTGTTATAGTATAGTAACATAAAAATCGTCTTGCTATTCTGTTGTTCCCTAATTTAGTCAAGATAGAGAAAGCTAAGGATCTATTAATCATAAAATGCATCAGTTTGCCATTGCAGATCAAAATTGCTCTTTATTCTTTCTAACTATATAGAAGATCCCTAGAGCAAGCAGGAGACCGTTGTCATCTCTGCTTGCCGACATGAAGGCAGTTAGGTATTTTCATCTGCCTTTTGTGCTATGAGAAATTTCCCTGCGCTTCCGTATAGCAACAGGTTGCTAAAGTTGGTTGACCATGCTGTCTATGAGATAACAACGCACAGAATTTTTGAACTTCTTCCGCGTAACCTCTCTGCATCTGTCAGTGTCATAAACATGCATGTCTGGCCCAAATGCTTCATGCCAGCCCATGAAAAACCAAAAATCTAAAAAGATAGTTATTTGTAACTCAGTAAAATTCCACCGTCTTTGATATTGCACACGTGTTTCGCTCTCACTCTCTTCTGTTAAAACATTCGCTCAGTAGGATAACTACGACAAGTTACAGCAAACGTTTGGATGCAGTGAACTGAAACAACACTCTTCTTAGGCGGCGAATTTGGTTCTCTCTCGCTACTGTTAGGTACCCTTCTTTTTCATTGACTTTGTTCCTCTTGATTTCTACCCTTGCACTCCAAAATTTATCCTTATGCTAAAAGCCCTAATTTCTTTTATTCTCTTATTATGATTTTGGATAAATTGGAAAAACTGTGTGATTATGTAATAATTTGGAGGTCTCCTTCTCCATTAATAGATTTCGCAATCGCTGTGGATTTTTTAAAAATCAACTGAAATTCAATTGGGTATTGCTTTCAAATTTGATGGGGTTAACGCTATTACACTATCAAGCAGCTTAGTTGCAGTCATTACTCAACAATTCCTATGTGCCAACTTGTGTAACTGGGCCTGCCTGCCATTGACAAATTGGATTCTTTCTAACTGTATTATGTTTTCCCAAGAACTCACTACATTGAACTTTCTGAAGCTAAACACTATTTTACAAGAAATGAATTTTCTTTTTGACTACTGTTTAGAAGGGTAAGAAAGTTTTGGTTTGACCAAGGGAAAAGAATAGTTGAAAATGTTAAACCTAGAGCCTTCTTATTACGCTTTATGATGAACAATATTAAACCTAAAATCGGAAAGAAAGAGAGAAAAGAAATTAAACCTAAAAAGCTTAGCTCATTTAACTTAAATCATTGTGACATAACATTTTGGATTGGTTTGAAATTAAGGCTTGACGTAAAAGTTGTTCAAACACTTCATTTTCTTCATGTAAAATTGACCAATTATTGGACTTCCTATTGATGTGCTTAATAGAATCAAAAGGTAACGTGGTTCCCATTTCTGGTCTTCTGATAATCCCAAAATAATACATTTGCTGTTTGATATGGCTACTGTTGTGTGGTTAAAATTTTTGGTTTCTTAATTTATTTTTCTTCTTTTGATATGAAAATAGTTACAGTTTACTTTGCGCAAAGTGAAAGATAAGTTGCATTTAGTGGTTCATTTGGTTATGCCGTTGCTAAATACTTCAAATGTGACCATTCAACTGTACTCACTTGAAGAAAAGCTTTATCTTACCACGAGCTAACATATAACATAAAATGTGTTTGAGAATCTAATAAGCTGCTAAAATTGATCATTTAACCATGTATATATTACGTAGATCAATGCTATTTGTGCAATTCCTATTTTTTCTGCTTTTGATATAAAAATAGTTACAGTTTACTTTGCACAAAGTGAAAGATAAGTTGCATTTAGTGGTTCATTTGGTTATGCCGTTGCTAAATACTTCAAATGTGACCATTCAACTGTACTCACTTGAAGAAAAGCTTTATCTTACCACGAGCTAACATATAACATAAAATGTGTTTGAGAATCTAATAAGCTGCTAAAATTGATCATTTAACCATGTATATATTACGTAGATCAATGCTATTTGTGCAATTCCTAATTTGTATTTTTGATTTGGTAAAATTTCTACCGGATCAGATGATCTGACCTTCTGAAATTAATGACTGACTTTCTGAAATTAAATCAATATTGACTTTCAGCCAATGTTTTTTTAATGAATCTCTTTGTACAAGTCATTAGAACTATTTCTTAGTATGGTTGCACTATTGTTTGTTTACTGACCATGAATTTTATAACGTTTAAAAATTGTAGGACTCTTGTACCAACTGATATTAGGGAGCAACAAATTTTAATATTGATGGACTCTGGACAAACAAACAAGCGTCCCTGCTCTGAAAAGAAATGTCCTGATAGGAATATTAGACGACGCGAACAGTATAAACTTAAGATGGCGAATGAAAAAAATGCACTATCATTATAGGAAATACTCAAAAATCAGGCGTTGCAACATAATCGCTTTGAAAGAGCGACTTCTATCATCTCTACCGATATAACAACATCAGCACATTTACAGTGTACTTCTAATACAAAGGGCTCCTACTATACTTCCAAAACAGGTTAGTATACTAATTTTATATCGCAATCTATACAGTATGCAATTGTTTCATTGTTTAGAACAAATATAATTTTCTTGTGTGCATGAATATCTACCATAAATTTAACACTATAGACATTTGTTGCGCTTATGCCTACTATGCAGAGAGTAAGGTTACAATGCTTCTATCATTTCCTCCTTTTGACAAGGGAAATCCTCTTTGCACTTATGAGAAAGGCAAGTTGCCTAAAGTTACCATAATTTTACACTAATATACAAGACATTGTGTTGACTAAAAAACTACTTATCTGGTAGGTTCAATGTCGGCTATGCCTAATGAACAAAATGATACAATCGAGATAATGATAACTAAAGGTTTGTATTTGTGTCATCTTTAGGCAATATCATTTTGTGCTTACTATTTTACTCCTTACAACCTCTACAACATGCAGGTCGCGCTCGAAATAACAAAACTGCTATGAATATTGAATTACGTTCAGACTATGTGCCATTAAAAAAGGTTCCAAATTGTAAATTTTACTTTGCGAAAAGATTTGAAAATGAATCTCCTGGATTTTATTGTGGCACTGGTACAGTTAAGATAATTTTACATTGAATGCCCACTAAGCTACATGATCTATATTTTGAGAATAGTGAAAAATCCCAACACTTTCGAATATACATCAGAACATATAATAATACATTTGCATTTACATCACTTGGTGTAAACTATGATATAGACTTAGCGTGAAGGAATCATGGTATCTATACTTTTAGAGTTCAAGGACGAATGTATCACCTAATAGATGATTTGTATCCCGAAGGTAAAAAACCAAAAAATCTACAGTTGTACTTTTATGACAACAACAATGAGTTAGCAAATAGAATAGCATGCTCTAACAAAGTTAATGAATCTATAGTGAGGGAACTGATGGATATGTTGACAGTTAACCCGTACTCCTTTTTTATCCGATCTTTGATAGATATTCATGACCTACAAAACTTCCATATTGGATTGAAATGTGATCCTGATTTAGATCAACGAATATTTAATTTGCCAACTTCCTCAGCAATTGTTTTTGATTTTTCACATGAGGAATGCGAGTTTTTAACCAAAATTGTCCCTTATCTTTGGGAGTAGGTTTACTTTTATCCTTTAACTATCACTCTGAGCACCTTTAGTCCCTTATGTTTAGTAAAGTGAAGCATTTTTGGTCTTACTAACAGCACTTGGTTAAAATTTAACGGTGACTACACATGCCACTTTTAAAAAGTAAATCCAGCAGTAAAAGCTAAACTCATTCCCCCTTCTCCAAATTCCACGGCTACCATGAACCTTAGAAGAAAAGCTTCCATGGTAAAGAAGAAAATTAAATTGAAACACCTATATGTTATCTAAGTAGAACTTAACAAGTATTCAAGACTTCTCTTCAATCAACCTCGAACACTGAGGCAGCCCCCGGAAGATCACCTTCTCGAAGAAGTCAAGATGAGCCAAAAAGGGTCTCGATAGGAAAATGGTGTATCGGTCCAAACGGTCGAATGAACCATGTCAGCATAGAATAATTGAGCCCTTGACAGCGAAAACATGTATACTTGTGCCAAGTAATCAAAAGAGTATCTTTTACCACCAAAAACGCTTCGCGCTTCAAAGAAGTATGCTACTTTTACGNGATTTTTCAAGCTTTCTGACTTCTTTGTCCTACCTTTTGTTTAAATCAGGCAAGCATGGGGCCCTGGCATGGATATTATAAACCCTCATTTTCTGGCTTTTGCCGCAGCTGAGCGTCAATTCCTGCAATCGGAGTATGATGACTATGCCATTGCTAGCAGTGGGAGTTTAGCATGTTTCCGCTACGTTGCAATCATCGTAAGTAAAAACTGTGTAATGCTTCTACGATTTAGTGATTCTGTTCGTAAGAATAATATTATTGAAGGTGGGTTATCTTCTATTCATGCAGTTGATGCTACTCTTGCTGATTCGCCAAACATTGATGGCCACAAGGGACTTTTCAATGGTGCAGGACTCATCTATATTCTTCAACGTAAGTTAGAGTTGTAGCTCCGTATATCTTTAATCAATAACTTGTGCTGGAGAGTGGCAGTGTCATGCTGTTCCAATACTCGGTCCTTTCATTAGGTTTGCATAACTGAATATGATTAAAATGTATGCCGTCTCGTATCAAANGAATTGGTTAGTGAATAAGGATTAGTTGTAACCTTGCTTAATCGGCCTCCTTAAAGGAAGATAAGATATAAGAATTTACTGTTCTGTTAAACAGAATATTAATATACCAGACTCCGAAGGCTTCTGTTGGCTCACCTTAAATGGATGTTTTGGTGTCAGTTTTCTTGCCTGCTTAATGTCTTTACACTGCTAGTTTCAGAAATAGGTCATCATTCTTATCTTTGTCTAGATCACTATCATAAATAGGACGAAGTAACTACTCCAAACAGCTTGAGTACTTAATAATTTATGGAAATTTTAGTAGGATAAATATCTGTTATTTTGAAGTAAACAATGAAACTTCATTCTTTACATAGAAACTTAGAATCTGTTATCTGAAATCTTACAAGTAGCTTTGGCATTGAATGAATTTGTTTTCTAGATCAGTAGCTAACAAGCTTTCAAAAGAAGTCTTTAGGGNAATGTATGCCGTCTCGTATCAAAAATTAATATGACATTTATATCATGTTTCTGTAGTTTAAGTTGTTCGTTGTGGATGCATGTTTATTATGGACAACTTATGTTTTATTCTAATCATTCTATACATAGCGAGACTTGCACAGACACTCTAGTAAATCTGTCTGAAGCATGTTTTGTGAACTTCAGTTTCAGATTTCACTTCTACAGCTGGTGGCTTTCCTCCTCCCTTATTATGTAATGGCTCGGACATGGTACATGATACAATGCCGAAGAAGGAGGCAGGCGTGTTAACCTAATCGGTTATCCTAATCATTCTCCTTCCTCTTGCCTTCTGCCCTTCAATTTTGCATACCTTTTTTAGTTCTTGGTTGGCTAAATACGATGAAACCATAGTCATAAAGAACCGAATCAAGTACAAAGAGAAGATGTGCATCTCTGATGAACCTGAGAACTAAAATTGCTTAGCTCTGCCTTATTCGAAGTAGCTTATTGGAATAAAATCAGGAAATTGGTTCCTTGGTAACTATTGCTAATTTGCTACTATTGATTCATCTCTTCTTTTCTTTTTTTTCAAAAACTTTTCAGGCAGTTAGTTTTTGTCTATTAGTTTCTGAAGCACTACAACTTCTACGCTCATACATCATTGCTAACTTAAAAGACTTCCATAGAGCCAATTTCATTTAATGACTCCTTTTCCTAACAATTTCTTGGATTCTCATATGATCGCTATGGTAACCATGGCTTATCCTAATACAGTTAATTCTAGTGAAATGAACCGCTGGGATTTTGAAAGTGGATTTGCACTCAATTGCTCCAGACTAAATTATCCTTGACAGAGTTGGTAGTATATGCATCTTGAAATATAGTGTACTAAAAAAGACAACATTAATGCTTTTCTTTAAGTTGTTTAATTCTGCTCTGTAAGTTGCTGTCCATTGTTAGAATTGCTTGAATGTTGCTATGTAATACTTTCTATCCAACTCAAGACCTTTTCTTGTAACGTGGTTGAGCTGAATATGAGAAATTTCATATAGTTTCATGCACATATACACAAATGATATTTTTAGTGAAGAAAGACATCTCGACTTCCTTTTCCGTTTTCTTGTTAGAGATCTTAGGCTTCTGATGGTTCTGAAGCTGCAGACGGAAAGTTCTTTTGCTTTATCTTACATGTTAACGGTTGATTTCAGGCTTAAGAAGGAAGCCATGGTTGGTAGCATGACCTTTTGCAGCCTTTCTCGTCTCTAATGTTGGACAAATGCTGCTGCTGTACATCAACCTTCTCTTTCCCTAATATCTGTATTTATCTTCCAAGGTGCAAAAGTTTAGCTTAGCACTTTGGTGCTGAAAATCCCTTAGCTCTTTGAGCTACATATAAGCTCTTCCCCAGTTTCTCCTACCCGTGAACTCGTAAGCAAATGTAAATATGTGAGGATTTGAGTTCACTAGCGGTTTCTATCACCTTGTTCTATAATATCAGATATGAAATTTCTAATGGAACAGTAAGTTATCTGCATTTTGTTGAGGTAAAGCTTCATTTAAATCATCGCAACCTTGCGATACAGAGGTCAGTTTCATTGGCAGTTTTTGCCCAGTATTGCATGTTTTATCTGAAAATATCGGTCTATGGGGATGGCAACATACAGATCCAGGCAGTTTTGGACAGGGCCTCTTTTCTGTGCTTATAGTGGGAAGTTATATTTATTACTATTATATCTTCTCTTTTTTCTTCTCTTCTGGCACTTCATTTTTTTGAAGATGCTGTAGAGGATTAAGTGAAAGCCAGAAAATTGGTTAAATCAAGATTCTTCTGCACTGAAAGATCTGAATAAACTTTATTTTGCATTGTTCTCAAGATTCTTATATTTATTTTTGAAACTTGTGGTAGTCTAGTTGATGCATCGGTGAGGAGGTGTGAGCGACTGGCTGTAGTGGGCAAGCGGAGAGGTAGAGGACGACCTAAGAAGTATTAGGGAGAGGTGATGAGACAGGACATGGCGCGACTTAGGATTAATGAGGACATGGCCCTTGACAGGGAATTATGGAGGTCGAGTATTAAGGTTGTAGGTTAGGGGAGAGTTGTGAATATTTCTACAGCACAATAGAGTGAGACTAGCCAGTTAGGAGTTGGACTAAGAATGTCATTGGTCGTCTATTGATGCAGGGTTTTACCTGCTAGTTTTACTATACCAGCCATCTTTTTCGTATTTCGTATTATGTATTTCATATTTATTGTATTGCTGTTATTTTATTATGCATTTTTATAGTACTAATATATCGGCTTCTGTTGCTTTTGAGCTGAGGGTCTCCTGGAAACAGCCTCTCTACCCTTCGGGGTAGGGGTAAGGTCTGCGTACATATTACCCTCCACAGACCCCACTTATGGGATTATACTGGGTTGTTGTTATTGTTGTTGTTGTTGTGGTAGTCTAGTTGAAAGGTTCACACATGATCAAGCAAGCCTGTCCTCTAACTCACTCTCTAGAAAATTACCCCTATCCAAAAAGGAATAGAAAGAAATGTTCAGAGGCTCAAAACTCGGAAAAGGCATTTTCTTAGATTTAGCGTTCGGACCAACATCTTTTTACCTAATTTTTTTGAGTCCTTTTGGTTAATTTATAGCTATGTCTCTTGATTGGAGTTCAGCTAATCATGGTGGCCATAGTAATAACATAAAGAGGAGTTCCAATTCATGGTGGTCACTGTGTACAGTATAATTTGTATGGCACTCTCTATCAAGTTTCAAGAAAGTATGTTCCTCCTTTCGGTCATGAAACTAATAGTGGGCAGTTAGAACTAACTACATTATTTTGCGATCTTTGAAGACAGAATAAACTTACAATTCTCTATTCAAATCAGTCAAGTTTGAACTGAAAAAGAGAAAAAAACGAACAATACCAAACTTAATTAGGCATGATATCGGTATAATATTTTAAGCAACTGAATATCTGAAATACCAAATCGAAATATTTGAAAAACATATTGAGTTGGCCGATGGGAAATGAAAAGTAAATACTTTTTAGAACCCAAAGTTTACATCAAATTAAACCGGACAAAATAGTCTCCTGGCCACTTAAACTTGTACCCGATTGTCATGCCGATAAATGAACTTTCAAAATTCTCATATGAACACTTCAACTTGAGCATAAGTGAACTAATAAATACCTCTAACCTATGACTCAATCTACGTGGTATCAATTATTCCTAGTCAGCTATTGTGCGTGTACGTCACGCCTGGCAGGAGCATGAATGTGATTTTTTCAAGAGGAATTTTCAGAAACCACTATTGTTTAGTGGCTATTAACTTACTATAACTACCATATATATAATTACTTCATATAGCTACTATTCAGGTGTTACGGTAGTGTATTCCCTATATTCGCGCTGCTGTATTCATGAATACAACATCAAAAATGCCTAAAAAACAGGGTAGACCAGCTGTCCGCGCATGTATTCACATGTATTCGCGCCATGTATTCATGAATACAGCAGCAAAAAGCGCCTAAAATCAGGGCATTCCAGCTGCACGCGCATGTATTCACATGTATTCGGTCTGATGTATTCATGAATACAACAGTAAAAAAGCGCCTAAAATCAAGGTAGTCCAGCTGTATGCGCATATATTCACATGTATTCGCACCAAGTATTCATGAATACAGGAATGGCAATTACCTTAAAAATATGTATGTCCAGCCGTCAAAGAGAGAGGAAAAACATAAATAGCGTATTTCATGCCTCAATGGTAGTATATACCATAAATACTTATTTTGCTATAAAATATAAAAGGTAACTATAGAAAATAATATTTTAAAATAATTTTGATTTATAATAAATAGGGTGTATACCTTTGCTATGGGAGGTAAAATTTCCTTTTTTTTCAATGGACAATTGTAATAAACCCAAGGGCCCATCTATTTAGAGGGCTTCTTCTTCCTTCTTTGGCCTACAACCTCCATTTTTGATTTATACAAGCTTTAAATTTCTTCTTCCTTCAAATTTTTTACAGATTCAAGTCAAATTATTTCTTCTCTAGGTCAATATTTTATTCTTCAGGCTAAGAATGCAATGGAAAATCATGTAGTGTGTCGTTGTGGAGTTGACGATGTTGTGTGCATAACCTGGAAGCCCACTAATCCGGGTAGAAGGTTCTTAGGATACTCAAATTATGGTACAACTAGTCGTTGTAATTTTTTCAGGTGGGTTGACCCACCTTTTTCAGATCATTACAAACAAGTAATTTCGGGACTGCTATCAAGAATTCGCATCAATGGGCAGCGAAGCAACATGGGAAAATAATATGTCATTGTGTTTGTTGTTGTTGCACTGCTCTTTGTAGTGTTATTCTTAGCTTAGGATCTTTTGTTATATGTTTATTCTTAACAAACAATGACAATGTCAAGTGCATAAAGTATTTTACTGCAATAAAAAGTTATGCTTGGCATTAACATCTGAACATATATTATACAAGTTCAAAACAACTATTTTGATTGTCACTAGCAGGCCATCAAATCTGCATACTAGCAAAAACCAGTTTACTAGTGTGTTTAAAACCAAACCAAAAGAATATTAATTAAGTTATGAATATTTCAGACCAATTCTTCCATAGAATGACCTACAAATAAGTTTTGATACTAACTGTCACACCTCCTTTTTACCGCCCCCGCGGGGGTACAGGGGAGTTTTTCCAATTAAAGGACAATCGAAACGGGATTTATTTATTTATTTCAGAGTCACCACTTGGGGGATTTAGGGTGTCCCAAGTCACCAATTTTAATCCCGAATCGAGGAAAAGAATGACTCTATATTACAGTCCGCGAACCAGAAATCCGGATAAAGAATTCTGTTAACCCGGGAGAAGGTGTTAGGCATTCCCGAATTCCGTGGTTCTAGCACGGTCGCTCAACTGTTATATTTGGCTTGATTATTTGATATAATACGTATTATAAACTTATGTGCAAATTTTATCCTTTGGCCGCTTTTATTATTATATTTTTAAAGAATGTGAACATCGTTTAAAAAACATGTCTTTGGATTGCGTCACATAAAATGCATCCACGATCCGGAACGTATTTTTATTCAATGTTTTGGGATTTGGATTTGGGTCTCATAAATGCGTACCCGTGTTTAAGAATGTATTATTATTATATCGCGCCTAAAGCGATTAGCGCTTTATTACTTTGGGGAAGGCCGTGAAATTAGCTAAACGGCCCATCCCGAAGTTTAAGTAATCAATTTAAATTTTACGAGGGCCCCACAATTTGTGTTTTATTTGGCAAGGCTCGTCTCATCTTATTTTAAAAAAAAACAGTCCTAAAATACTTACATTTTCCTATTGAAATTTGTCTCTACAAAATAAAAGAAAAAATATCTTAATTTATTTACATGCTTGAGTTGTTATAGATGAATTTTGAATATGATTCATAAAATCTGAAAATGATGCAAACATGACAGTCCGTTGTCACTGCAGGCCCAG